AAACCTTATGTCCAAACATTTCAACCATATTTTGCAATCCAAACCATTTGAAATAAATTGTAACCAATTTATATGCACACATAACCGGTTGGATGTTTTTTCGCCAACCTCCATGAAGAGGACCGCGGTCTGCTTTGGAAGAATGAAACTTTGAAGGGCTTGTTTCGTCAACAATATCCTTTAAAAAATTAATGAATTTTTTTAAATTAACAAAAAAACCGAGGAATAAAGAAATTCTTTATCATTAGCGATATCAATGTGAACAACTTCTCGATTTCTCAAAATATTATCGGGCAAATGGTGTGCCTTAAAAATATTATTTTTTTAATTTTTAAAATAATTTTAATATAGAAATCATAGATTATTTAATTCAAAACTTTCAGGTATCCCAAAAATAAATTTTTGGGAGATTTTTGTATTAAATGTTAATTGTGTTCGCAAAATTGAAAATTTAAATAGCAATAATTAATTCACAAATTATTCTAGAGGGGATGAGAGTAGCCTATTTTCGATTTATTTTTTGTAATTATCTATTTAAGTGGGTGTTCTCCACTAAAAGATGAATTATTGGTGACCAGCAAGGGCGTGTCCTAGGATCGAATTTCAAGGAGAGGAGGTAAATAGGATCTCCACCTTCCATTTTTTGATACGCCCCTACAAGCATGGTCTAAAAAGATTGAATATAGGGACAGGCAAAGCGAATAACCAAAAAAATTTTTTCAATTTTCTCGGAAAAGGAATCCACTTTTAATAATTTTAAATAAAAATTTAAATACATTTTTGGTATGCCCTCTATCATTATCCAAATGGATCGTCTCAATTCGAACAAAGAAATTATCCTTCATATAGTCCGGATTGGTCAATTCTGTCTTGCAATAGGGATAAGCATTCCAAGCATGTTCGTGGATAGCCATTGAGCCTTTTGGTAAAATCGCTTTGACGATTGACGGCACTTTTGATTCCAAATGATATATTTTGTGTGTATATTGACCCGAAGTGTATTTTCCATTGAACAGTGGAATGTCATCAAATTGTTGATTGACCAATACTTCGACACCCTCTCCACCTCCAGTTTCCTTTAGAAAAAAAGTTTCAAGGTTAAATTTGATAGAAAATTATTCTAAATTAAAAAGATAAATAGAATGGAGCTCTATTAGGCAAAAATTTATTAGCCTAAATTTTACGAAATTTTTGTCATCACCATCAACAATTTTTAAACAAATTTTTTAATCTCAAAAATAGTATGCTTTTGCCTTATAGAATCCCTTCAAAGTTAAAAAGAATATTTTTTAAACCTGCTTGGATGCCTGAGCAACAGAATACAACTGTCCAATTTGGTATTCCTCAACACTCATTGGCAAAACAATTCGACTAAAAGATTAAAAGTTTAGCGTCAAAAGCTTAATTGAAGGCGTTTTCATTTTAAAACCCATTTGGAAATTGTTCAAAAATTTTCGAAAAATTGCAAACTTTTTTGGTCTCAACAAAAGAAGAAAAGTCACAAAACAAAAATTAATAAAAAAAATACTTACTATTCTTTAATATGCATTTTTAGAAAAAAAACCAGGTAGGTGTTGTTACAAATTAAATTGAAAATGTTAAGTGCGTAATCGCCCTGAAAAATTCCAAAATTAATTTAAAATTAAATTTAAAAAACAGAATAAAGTAATTAAATATGCGTGTAAAGCATTCGAAATAATTTTAAAAAAATAAAAAAAATTATTTTTCAAACATAAAAATAACAAAAAAGAAATTATTTAAAGAATTGCTAACAAAAAGATTCTTGAGCAACTCAATAAATTTATTTGTCAACAAAAATAGCTACTTTTTTTAGTAATAGCTTGGGGGTGCTTCTGTAGAAAATTTTTTATTAAACTATCAGAAAATTACAACAAAAAGAAAAAGAACCTAACCCCAAGCTTAAACTTCCAGAAAAATAACTTCTGAAGAAAAAAAGATTTCCTAGAAAATATCCAGCTCTTCCCCGAAAGTAGCTATTTTATTTTCATCAACATATATTCTTAACCAATATTTAATATACAAAATATACTCACTAAACTTTTCAGAATGTCATTAAAAACTAAGTATAATCTCTGAATTTTTGGGGATGATTTTTGCGGAAAAATTGAGGACTTTTTTCTAAAAAACAAAAAAAATCCGAACCGTCCCCAAGAAAACTTTTCTATAAAAATGCTTTTTGGTTAATGACATTCCTCTTCTTTCAACACAAAATTTACTCTAAAGGAAACCAAAATTAAAATTCCTATATTTTTAAACTTTTAATCAACATTTTTAGCCTTCATTTCTTCTTCCAAAATTTTAGCCTTTTCACAAGCCTCGTTTAACCAAATTGGATAATTCCTTTTATCAAAATTAACATCTTCTGAAAGTTTTTTGTAGTAACGCCAGTCCTAGAAAAATTTAAAAAAATTTCTTTGTAAAAATCCCCCAAAAAACCTTAGAAATTGGTTGATCGCCAAAACGTGGAAGTTTAGAATTATCCCAATGGTGACCAAAAAAGTTCCCTCCTTGATATTCATATTTCTTCTGGTACAAGGCAAACCTAAAAAAATCAAAAATCATTGATAAGAGATTGTAAGTAAAATCAAAAATTATGCCATTATTTTGTAGTACTAGGTCGTAATATAAATTGTAAAACAAAAAAGTTTCCAAAATCGGTGTTTTTTTTTAAATTACCACCCTCCTAATTGTAAGACTTATAATAAAAACAAAAGGACTGAGAATCAGATCAAAATGTTAATAAACAGTTGCCAACACTTGTGCCAAACCCAACAACTAAACCGACCTAATAAAACCCGTATTAATTTTTCGGTTCCGGCCAAGAAGTACTGAAAATATTCCAAAAAAACTAGAAACAAAAGATTCTAACCGCCACATTAACACAAAAAAATTTCAGAAAACAACAAACTTGTTCCAAAATTTCATCTCAAATTTTCCATCAGCCATATCTTTTTTGTGTTGCTCAACTAATCGCTTTCGCTCAGCCATAATTTGTGGATGACGCCGTTCCCAAATCAAACGATGTTTTTGTTTCATATAGGCATCAACCACATCAGATGAAGTGCCAATTTCTCCATACTAAAAATTCAAAAATTAAATAACCCAGATCTTCTCCACATAATAAGTCAAGTAGTTCTTAATCTTAAATAAAAGTAACAGAGGAATTTTTCTTAATCCAGGCTTATTGTCAGAAAGAAATTACATTCGAAAAGGGCTCTACAGGGATCAAGTTCCAATATCAGAAGCTTCCATAAACCGATATAAAATAATACCGGTTAAACCAAAAGGAAAATTGGGAAGAAAAAAATCTTAAAAATTTTTCTAAATCATTAAAAACCTTGATAAAATAATTCAAATCAGCTTCTTCATAATCCTCAATATATTTAGAACACATTCCCATTCTAACTTTTCCGAAAAATTTTATACAGTCATGCATTCGATACATCAGAATGTTAACAATGTAAGCATCAACCATTTTGTCAATTCTGTATTGCTCGTTTGCTTCAAAAATGCAAACCTAAAAATAATTTTTGTAATAACTTTAGAAATGTGTTGCTTTGACCTCCCCCATTTATTTCGAAAAACAATCAATGACTAACATAAGTCAAAGAGCATTTCTTTCAATGAGATCGTCGAGCTGAATCAAATAACACAAAATTAGACTTATCAAACAGAGATAAAATGTCCGGTCCAACTGACTTTCCACGCAGTGTCAAAAAACACAATTTAGTTTGGAATTTATGTATTATTTGACTCACAATTCGCTCGAAGAACTCTTTCGAAATAACTGACATAGAAATTGGTAAAGCATCGTAAAAAATTTACCCTGTCATGAACTCCACATTGATCAATATCAGGAACTCGATCCAATTTTCGATGATAGTAGACTGGTTGGTAACGGTCATGTAAAGGTTCTATAATCTTCTCACGAACAAAAGTCACTGGCAAAGATAATAGATAATGACCATAATAACGTCCTCGAATCCAAATTGTTCCCTAAAAATGTTAAAGAATAAAAATCTGAAAAATAATGAACTTTCTAGTCATAAACTTTATTTGGAAATAAAGACAGTCAAAAAGAATAAAATTAAAAATAAGGTAAGATTTCATTAACGAAATAGGAGAAATAGTTATTGAGATTTCGAAAGTCTGGATTCGGGCTTGGCAAGCTTTTTGACGATCGGCCTGACGTGAGTCAGATACTGAAGCGTAGTCCGGAAAAATCCTAACAGGTTCTTAACATCCAGGTTCTTGACTCTATGCACATAAAAACGTGCCAACAACCATAGCTCAATTAATAGAAAAAAGTAGCCAAGCCCCTCCCGTTAAAAGGCCAAAAATAAAAAAAACATAGACTAACCCGACTCTCCTTCTCACGAACTTCCCAATATTTATTCCAAGCATTTCGTTCTTGCAAACGCCTTCGTTGTCTAAAAGTCAATCCTTCCGTTTTTGCATCAAACCCCATTTCAAGTTGTTTGTCATCATCCCATACAGGCACAACAGGATCATCTAATTTATACTGAGCTTTAGTAAATGAATTGGTTGACATTTTTATTAAAAATTTGGCTTAAATTTAAAATTGACGTTAAAAAAAGTTATAAAACGTTAGAAAAGAGAGGAAATTTTTCAGTAAAGTTAGCGAAAAAAAGACGAGTAAATAGAAAATTAATAGAAAATGTACTCTAAAAAATACCTAAAATTAGACATTTTGAGAAATATTCAAAGCTAAATATCATAATGTAAAAAATAAAACAATCAAATAGGAAGATCGAGGGACAAAACACCCTTACACCACCTTATCGGTGAATTATCAAAAAAGATCAAAATTTGATTTTTAAAATCACATTTAAATTAAAAAAAAACAAAAAAAATTAACAAATAATTAAAAAAAATAAATTATACAAACAAAAAAAAATTTTTGAGTATCAAAATAAATATTTCCTTTTTCCTTGTCTTCTTCTAATTAAAAATTCCTCCTATTTAATACACATTCTCGGCGCAATTGACATTGACATAAGCTCTTGAAGAAGCAACTTAAATGCATATGGAATACGGACAGCAGAAACTTGAGTTTTGTTTCGACAAGCCTAAAATTAATATTAAAAAAAATTATTGGTTTGGATCTGAGGGAGCTGGAAAAACTTTGATTCTTGACTTGATTTCAAGTTCTGACCTAAATCGAATTCTTGACGCCGAGTCAAGGAAAATCAGGGAATTCAGATTCTAAATCTAACAATAAGAAAAATTATGGTTTGGATCCAGATAAAACACATTCCCACATAAAGTCCAATAAAAGGCCACTAAGGTATCCAAGAAATATGTACATTTATCACAACTTCAAGTAAATAGAAACCCAGTCCCTCGAATTTTTAGTTTATTTCTCCCAACTTCCTTCCCTTATTTTTTCTCAACTAACCTTGCATTCAAATGTATTAGTCCGTTGATTTGCAATAACAATTAATCCACATTGATTACAAACATAAATAAGGTATGGATCAGAAACTTCAAAAAGACGTTCACGAAGAAATTGAGCACAACCGTGGGAGATTTGGCAGTCCCTTTCCATTTCGCCAAAACGCAGACCTCCATCCCTTTGAAAGAAAAAAGTTAATTCAAAAAAATTTTTTAAATTAAAAACCTAGCTCTTCCCTCCATTGGCTGACGATTCATTCCCTGAATCGGCCCTCTCGCCCTAGAATGAATTTTGTCATCCACCATATGTTTTAAACGTTGATAATATGTTGGGCCAATAAATACCTTTAAAAAATATTTTTTATTTAAAATTCGGACCTATCAACAATCTTCTTTCATTTTTTGTTTCTTTGAATAATTACCCTGGATAATTAGTGTGTCACCCTTTCGTCTAAGAGGGTGATTAATTCAAGGTAACGAAATTGATAGAGACCAGAGATTAAATTAAAACCGGGAACAAAAGAGAGGGGAACAGACTTTAGCTTAAAGATATAGCTGGAATTTGTCTTCCAAAAGAATGATGAAAAGCTTAATTTTTTTATGGGATTAATCTCGCAACCCACAAAAGCCTTTAACCATTTGCCATTTTAAAATGGGAAGGAAATAATGCGATGGTACCAAAAAAATTTCTTTAAAAAACCTGTGTAGTTAATTTCTGTCCAGTAAACCCATTGTACATAATTTCATTTCCACGCAAATGATAACCATATTCAGCCAATAATGCTGAAATTTTCTGTACGTTGACTGTGTCATTAAAGGGTGTTGCATCACCAATTTCTCCTTTATTTGCTGATAACTTGAAAGAAAATTTTTTTTAATTTTTTTAAAATTAATAAACCTTTCCTTGAAGACATTCTATAAGGTGTCCAATTGTCATACGTGATGGAACAGCGTGTGGATTAATTATAATGTCGGGAACAAGACCTTCACGAGTAAATGGCATATCTTCCTAAATAAATTTTTTGAGTAAAAAAATGATTTTTATTATCCAAAAACCTCTCTATACATCATTCCCATTGTTCCCTTTTGACCGTGACGCGAAGCAAATTTATCTCCAATTTGAGGTAAACGAATTGAACGAACACGAATTTTAACGAATTTGTTTCCATCAGCATTTACTGTTAACATAACCTTGAGAGAAATTACAAAAAAATTATAAGAAAATTAATTTTTCTTTAGGATAGTGTGGCGGAGATATCCAAAAAATTATCGGTTCGTATATTAGACCAAGATATTCGGGGATTTCCCAGGATCTATCTATTCTAGACTGAATTTGAATACCGATTTCTTCCAAGAAATTAAATTTTTGGGAAAAAATGTTTTTGATTTTTTCACCCAATTTCAATGATTTCCTAATTCTATAATTCCCTTGTTAATTTCTAAAAATATACTTGATCAACAATTCCAGTTTCACTACTTCGCAAAAATGTAGAAGAATCACGTTTTTGATATCGAGAAGCAGTAGCTTCAAGTTCATTTTCGTTTTCATTTATTGCAATTGTTTTGCCAATAATAACATCATCTCCTGAAACTCGGGTGCCTGGCGAACTTATTCCATCATCATCTAATTTGTCATAAAGAGCATGACGCATTCCTTAAAAATTAATTTTTTTATTATTTTAAACCAATATTCCAAATTAGTGTCCAAGATTAGTAAACTGTCCGAGATTAATAAACTGTCCAGAAGAACACAGGCTTTTTTAGTTCAGTTTCTCGATGGAATCTTGAGAGATTTTACAAGAACCAACAACCTAATCCCGTATGTAAGATTATCCCCGCGCCAGTAAATACCCAAAACTCTAAAAAAATCCATCCATTTTTCCTTGAAAATTTTTTACCTTTACACTTGTCATGCGTTGGTTTTTCAATCAATTCTTCATTAACATTGTCGATATTTGATTCTTGGTCTCTATAAGACCGGTAGAAAACAGAACGGAAAAGGCCACGATCAATTCCCGATTGATTCATTATAACCGAGTCTTCTTGATTGTATCCACCATATGAAAGAATTGCAACAATTGCATTAATTCCCGCTGGAAGCTCATTAAAACTTAAAAAATAAATTAATAATTTAATTCAAAAACTTTAAAAACCGTAAATATTCCATTGAACGAGTTGTTACCAACGGTTTTTGTGGATAATAGAGAACATGTGCGAGAGTATCCATTCGAACGTGGAAATTTGTTGTATAAACGCCCATCGCTTGTTTTCCCATAGCACTTTGGTATGTGTTTCTTGGACTTTGATTGTGGTCAGGAAATGGTATAATTGAAGCACAAACACCCAAAATCATTGCCGGATGAATTTCACAATGAGTGTAAGTGTCACAATAACCACCAGCCTTCAAGTCTTCTGGGACCATTGCAACCATTATAGTCTCTAGAAAAAAATAATGGAGCGAGTCATAATGCCAAAACGCTGAAAATGTCAAACAATGGAAAAGTCAAAACAATTTGGCATATTTTTGACACCTTCCAATCCTTGACATCTCAACGTTTTGACATTATAACATCATAACGACTAAGACTCTCTTTGAATGATTTATATATACCTTCCTCCATAGCATCAATAAGTTCAACAACTCCACCAGCAACCAAGTCAGACCATGAAAATTGTTGTTCACCCGTCCCACGTTCTTTTAATAATTCAATATGTCGTCTCTTCAACTTTAATTTTCCATTCTCCACAATTAAAAGAGGTCGGCAAATTCGTCCCTGATCAGTGTTGATTCGAATTTCTCGATCACGAATATCTCGAACCATGCTGACTTCACTGACAATAATATCCATTTGACGACGAAGTTTTAAAAGTGTAGCCATTAATTGATCTGGATTTCGATGAATGCCAACCCATGAACCATTGACGAAGATTTTTGTACTGTCAGCAATTGAGAGAGGAGAAACTTCTAAAATCTTTTTAGTTAAATAGAAAGTAAAGCTGATTCAAAAAAGGATGTGTAAATCTATGAATAAATTTGTTTACGACTGGGAGAGAGGAGTGACTTAACCCTTAACATCCCATGTCTACATAAACAAGCAAAATCAACAAAATTCATATTCCGTAAAATAAAAAACAAAAGATAACCTTCCAAATTCTCCATACTCCATTCTTCAAGAAATTCCAAAATTGGTGCAGGCATCGATCCAACAGAAATATAAGCCATCAAAGCCAAATTCTTTACTAAACCGACAGCTTGACCTTCAGGTGTTTCAGCAGGGCAAACCATTCCCCATTGAGTATTGTGTAATTGACGAGGCTTTGCCAATTTTCCTTCACGGCCGATAGGTGAATTACAACGACGTAAACTAAAAAATTAATAAAATAAAAAGGGAAATCAAAAATAACTGTGAAAGTGTAGCTGTATATGTAAGACGGTTGAGGACTTGACTAACGCCAGCTCGTGTTTGATGTGCTTTCTTCTGTTCGCCCCAATTTCCTGTTGCAAGTGAATAAGCAAGGCCTCGAGTAATTATTGTTGGTCGAACACAGACATCCAAATTGAAATCTCCATTTTTGTTGATATATTTTTGAGCAACCAGACGAACCTAAAAATTTCAACATAGTTTTGAAATAATTAATTGGGATTAAATAAACACTTAAGCTGATTTACTAACGATTAAGCTGGTTTACCAACAAATTTTTCCCAAAAAATACTTAAAAATTACTTCTTTAAGCAAATTTCTAAAAAGAGCACGAAAGAGAAATGCCAACAAAGGACCAGCAAGTTCCAATCGTTTGTTTCCCATGTGATCACGATCATCAAGTTCACGACGTCCCAAAGCAGCCAACAAAAGACGATGTACCATATAACCGAGGAAATACTAAAAACATTATAAGCAAATACCTTCACTTAAAATACCGCTTTTTTGGTTTCACAATGTTCTGCAATACTAACGTGTGGAAGCATTTCTTTTTGAAGGATTTCTTTTGCGTAGCGAATACGTGCTTCTTTGGTTACACCTGGTTTGGCTCCTCGTGTACCAATAAAATTTAAAGCAACTTGTTGTTCCTAAAATAAAAGTGTTTAAAGATAAAAAAACCCAATCAAAAAGAAGAAAAATAAAGATTGTTGTCTCTAGTGGTGTTCCTGACCTTTTCCTCGCCCCGAGACAACCACCCTACAGTTAGTCAACAAAAAATAACCTGAACCACAAAAGCTTCATCCAAACTTGGCTTTAAAAGTTCCATCATTTCTTGATCATCAAAATCGTAAATAATGTGTTCTAAAATTGAATAAATCCCTACAAAAAGCTTTTATTAAAAATAACCTAAAATATCTCGATCAGAAACAAAACCAAGAGCACGAAAGAGAATAATAACATTGATTTCCTTAAAAAGAATTTTGAATTTAAAAATAATTATTAAAAACTTGTTTAATATATGGAATTATTGCAACAATTTTCTGGCCAGTAGCAGTTTTAGCTGATTTACCTCCTCTGTTTGTCATGTTGACCCAAAGTGTAGAAGCTGGACGACTAAAATAAAAAGAAAATTTAAAGAAAATAAGGTAAAAAATCATATTTCAAGTTTTTTAATTTCACCCAAACCCCTCCAGTCAGAAGTTAAAAATATTGGGATTCAAACCCAAGATAACATCCAAGAAAAAATTAAATGCGTAAGTCTAGAAAAGTTTCCTCACAATATACAGATAAAGTAAAAATGAAAAAGATAATGTCAGAGGCAGAAAGGTTGGAGTAGAGAACTCGTTCTTCGGAGAGCTCCCAGAATCATATCCAACAAGCCCATAAAGTTTTCCGAATTTCGGTCGCTTTAGTGAAGCGAGCTCGCTAATTTATAGTAATCGCGGCTCTTCAATTAAGAGTAATATAAAAATTCAATTTACCTCGACCCTTCCAAATAAGAGCGACATTCTGTTTTGTACATATATTTTCCATCTTTCATGGCAAAAACATAAACCTGAAAAACAAAAATGTCCTTTCAAAAATAAAAAAATTTTAACAACCGTATTTGTAGCCATCTTTTCCTGAGCAATCAATACCTTCTCGCTACCATTAATGACAAAATAACCACCAGGATCAAGAGGACATTCGTTGAGTTCAGTCAAGTCTCTGTCCGTTAAATTTGAAAGAACACAATAACTCGATCTTAAAAGGAAATTTTGAGAAAAATTTTAAATTTTCAAAAAATCGAACCTTAACATAATTGGAATCTTTCCAATAAATACTTTATTGTAATGCTGAACATTATCCTCTTCTCCTTCTTTTGAAATTGTTTTGACAATATCAACATATAGAGGTGATGAATATGTCAGATTGCGAAGACGAGCCTATTTTGGAAAAATTTTTTAAAAATAAAAAAAGAGAAGCAAAAATAAATCCATATCGAGATTTTATATTTGGTCCAACAAAATGTCTAAAAAAGGAGAGGGAATGTATCGCTTATAAAGCTATGACCCACTCAATGATCAACCAAATTTGAAAAAGTAAAACTAAAATGAACTACAATGAAAAGGTATCTTACAATGAGGCCCTATATTTAAGCCTAAAGTATTTAAAAACCAATAAAATACCTCGTTAGGCATAAGCGGAGTTGGAGCACCATCCTTTTCCCAATGAGTAGGTTTAGACAAATAGATTTGGCCAAATTTCAAAGTAAATTTGGTTGGTGCCTCAATTTCTCCTGTTGTATGTTGTAACTCAGTTTGAAGTTCCACTGCCGGTGCTTCCTCAACAATACGTTGAACGCTCATTTGAATGAATTCGTCAAAACTGTCCAACTGCTGACGTACTAAGCCTTTCTCATCAAAGTAAGCAGAGATAACCACCCAACAAGCTTCCTAAAATTATTCTTATGAATACGCAAAAATTGGTTACACCCTCGAGAAAGGAGAATAAACTATTCGTGAAATATAGTCAATGCCTTGACTCTTATTCTAGCAGTTTAACTATGGATCAAATGAAGAACAGGAATCAGAACTTGCAATAAACACAAGAACCCCTCAAAAATACTTGAATGGAGATTAGAAGAAAGACTAAATCTAACTAAATACAAGGCATTGTCAATCGAGAACAATACAAGTGCCTGACCGCCAATGTAAAAAAATAAAGAACCTGAACCAAATCTTTAGAATCAGAGGAACTTTATAACCAGGACCCAGTCCCATCTCAAGCATAATCTTAACAACCCAAATAAACACAATATTTCACATTAACCTGCCACAATTCAGCCGAAATTTCGTCCTCCTCTTCATCGTCATCCAAATGTTGCTGCATCTCTTGTTGTTCATCATCTTCGTCGTCCTGTTCCATTGGATGTTGCATGTCTTCGTTCTCCTCGTATTCTTGAGGATCATCATCGTCGTCGTCAAAAATCATTTTTAAATTTGTTAAATTTCAGACTTAAACTATTTTTTAACTAAAAATAAACTTAAAAAATGTTAAAAATAAAGAAACTGATCAGTTTTGTGGCCAAATGAAAGTTCACAAAAGTAAGTTTAAATAGTAAATTTTTTTACAAAACGAAGTTTACAAAACAACAATTTACATTACATTTCACCAAAATACAAATGGGTAATTCGACAAAAGTTAATTTAGGGCAATTTGCCGAAGTTTGTGTAAAATCTTCTTTAAAGCTAATGTTAAAGTGATAAAAATAGAAAAACGTTCGTTTTTGATCGATTTTAGTGATCATTGAGAAGTGATCGATTGACGCAACTAATTGTTGTCTTGTGAATTTTGCTTTTGGCGGATTCTTTTGGGATAGTAGTTAAGGGGATTTTAATTTTATACCCCCTCTACCCCTCTTCTAATTTTCTCAACAGCCCCCCCCCCCTCCTGCCTTCTCTTCAATTTTTGAAAATTATTCTGTCAATGTATTGGATAGGTAAAACAACGGTTATATTACAGTAGTTACCCTCCCGTAACCGTATCAAAGGAAAATGCCGCCAACCTATTGAAGGGTCTGGTTGGGGGAGGGGTCCGCCCCCATAAACGTCAGCCTATTGAATGTTTTGGCGCGCGATGGGGGAGGGGGTAAGGGGAAATCCAATCCTAATGGGGTGTTTTGAATTAATTAGGGGGAGGGGGCAAGGGAAAACAATTTGTTTTACTAATTGGTCGGGGTTGGGTGTAAGGGGATTTCAAGGTGTTAATTAGTTGACTAATTGACTGGGGAGGGGGTAAGGGGGAAGATTAAAAATTAAATGGTTTACAAATTGGTCTAAGGGAGGGGGTAAGGGGGAACTTTTATTATCAAGAGATGCTAATTGTTTAACTAATTGGTTCGGGCAGGGGGTATTTGGAAACAATTTGTAAAATAAATTGGTTCGAGGGAGGGGTAAGGGAAAATTTTAAGGTGTTAATGAGTGAGTGCGCGAAAATTTGGTGGACGATGGACAAATGGTGGATGCTCTACAAAACCCAAAATGCTCTCTTTAGAGCAGCAAATCTAATAAGTGAAACGAGACAATTACTAATTTTTTCTTGTATAAACTTTTGTATTTTTCTTTTAATTTCTTTTATTATTAATAATTCACACTAGGCGGGCTAACCCAGAAGATCACCTACTGAATTTTTAATATTATAGAGGTGATCTTCTGGGTTGTCTTTTTGGTAGCTTTTTCTTTTCTAAACATTTAATAGAGCTGTATAGAGAACAAAAGGAAGTTGCGTAAAAATAAATTTTGGATAAAAATAAAGTGAAAAGGGACTTGGAAACATATGTTTTTGTGAAAAACTGTGATTATGACAGTTATATTCATTATAATTAAAAATAATTTGTCACATTTTCACCCAATAAAAATTTTCTGATTTGTTCTGATTTTTTAGGTTTTAAATAAATAAATAAATAAATAATGATTTGGGTTGAAACGAATTGTACATGCCCGGGAAATCTCAAATGCTTGAGGCCTGGTATTTATTCCAAGCCTACGTTTTGCCTGCCAGAAAGTGTTCCAGCGGAACAATTTGAAAAATATGTTTCCAATCCGCTACAATTTCTGCAGCAAAATTGTTCAAACGCAACTATTCTCTATACACTTCTATTCTTTATTTTGGTTTCACTGATTTTCCAAGTAAATTTTTCTCTACACTTAACTAAGGAGGGGATTGTTACACTTTCTAAAAGATTTACCCCATGATTTAGCTAATAGCCTCTGTTAATTAGGTGTTATACAGGGACTACACAGGGACTACACTACTTATACAGGGACTACACTACACTAAATTTCTAATTAATTATATAATATTTAGTTGGCATCATTTGCCTTTATGGTTTTGAAAAAACGTAGTCGTCCTATGACTACGCGTCAATTTGCTGCTGGGCCTCATCATATTTTGACGCCTACTGTACAACCAACACCTTTGGTTGTCGACTGCCGAGTAATTATTTTTAATAAATTAATTAGTTAATGAATAAGTATAATAAACCAAAGCTGGGCTATATTTTTCCCTCAGCTGTGCAAAAGGGGTTTCGACGGTTGGGAGTGAACCAGCATCTTTAGGAATTAAATAACTATCTGATTTATATTATTTAATAAATTTTAAAAACAGTTAAAATAATAAAAATATTTTTCACATTTCAGAAGAAACGTACTCCGGGAACGGAGATGAAACTTTTCTCGTCTTCCCGAAAGGAGGCTACTCTTGAGAAAATGAGCAAATTAGTTGCCAAGGAGGCACATCATTCATCATTATAGATGAAAATGAAGAAAATGAAAAAGAAAATTTATAGATTTAAAATAAAATTAAAAAATAAAAGTAATTAAAAAATTAATTTTTATTCGACATTTAAAGTAAAGTAAATATTATGAAATATGTAGTTTAAATTTTTCTTGCAAAAATTAGATAGGAAGTAGAATGAATTATAATCTAGATTAGTAAATTTTTGTGTTTTATAGAGACAATAGTAGTTAGATAGGTAAGAGAGAGTGAGAGAGGGAGAGAGGGGGGGGAGAGAGAGAGGTAAAAGAGAAAGAGAGGTAAAAGAGAGAGAGGTAAAGAGAGAAAGGGAGAGAGAGGGAGAGAGGTAAAGAGAGAAAGGGAGAGAGAGGTAAAGAGAGAGGGAGAGATAGGTAAAGAGAGAGGGAGAGAGAGGTAAAGAGAGAGGGAGAGAGAGGTAAAGAGAGAGGGAGAGAGAGGTAAAGAGAGAGGGAGAGAGAGGTAAAGAGAGAAAGAGAGAGGGAGAGAGAGGGGAGAGAGAAAGAGAGACCAGATGCAACCAGATGCAAAGGACCGCATCTGTTTATCTTTTTGGGGTCCGATTTTATTAAGCAAAATGTCCAATTTTTATTTAACAAAATTTATTTTTTTAACTCAACATTTAAAGTTACAATGAAAGTTTTCAAACATTTAAAGTTATCAAACGTTTTTTCTTAACTTAATGTCAGTTTTTCCTCTTCATTCTGCTTTTCTTTTGGTACCAATCTTTTTGTATGGTGCCAAAACATCAGTAGCAATGCTATTAGCTTTGACACAGTTATTGCATAATCCTATCTTCACAGTAACACAATCAGGATTCTCTTCAAATTTATCTTTCGAATAAAATAATTTGTTTTGACAGTCTAAAAATTTAATTTTTGAATAAAATATTAAATTTTATTACCTTGACACAAGTAGAATGTAATTAAGAATTTTCCGCGTATTAGCTTCCAAAGTTGTTGTTTTTTAACAACTTGTTCTTCAACAATTTTTATTAAATTTAGATCCACGGGAGGATTAGTAATAGTTTGCTCTTAAAAAATTTGTATGAAAATAATTATTTTATTATGAAACCTAAAGAGCTTTTAGAAGTTGATTCCTTCTTTTCTAATTTCACAGGTTTTTTAAAGGAAATTTCCTTGTTTTGCTCACAATCTCCATCTTTTAAATAGAAACTTAAATAAATTTTTAAAGGAAAAGTTACCAATCTTCTCAGATGATGAGTTATTTTGTTGCATATTTTTAATGTTAAAATATTAAATATTTAATTGCGGAAAAATTTGTTGTAAATTATATAGAATGATCTTAAGAAATAAGGATTATGGATTTTTTTAGTAAAAAATGGGCGTGGCTTAATATCGATTTTTTAAAAATGGCTTGGCTTCGTTTTTTCAAAGTTGGTGCCTGATTCAATACTGTAGGGTTAGATAGTATAGACACCTACGGGAGCGAGAGAAGGGTATATAAACTCAAAATTTTGAACAAAGTAAATTAATTTTAGAAAAATTTTAATAAAATGGCCCTCAACATGAATGACAAGAAATCATTATTAACCCAGATTATCCCTGAAGTCGACTTCAACATAACTACTAATGGGATAACCATTACTAGTGAACGAATCACCACCCCGCGTTTCATTCCTTTTGAACACGGGGGTCGGTGCCGGGAATGTAAAAGCACAGAAGTAGAATTGGACTTCATTGTTACAAAGGAGGGAGTGACAATTTATTGTACTCGCCTGTCATCTCCTCGTTTAGTGCCATTTGATTGCATTTATGACCTCCCGGGTCATTGTTTCTTTAAGGTCATTTTCCTAAAATAATTTCGGATGAAATATAAAATTTAGATCAAAAACAAAGGCCGCGTCTTGAATATACCATATGGTTCACAAGATGTCCGCTCGGTTGTGAATACGAATTCTCGTAAACGTGAAGCTACTACTCAGCTTTCGCCTCTAAAATCTCCTCCCCATGAGCCTCTCCAAGAGGTAGTAGATCCACCATTGATTGAAGATGTTCAAAATATTGAACAAACTCCAACTATTGAAACCGAACCATCTGTTAATGATTTAAATGTTATGGGACAACCCAATGCGGACGATGCCGTCATTATGGAATTTTTCGATTCTATGCAAGCTGTCACTATGGGCATATCTTCAGAGATAGAGGTTAAGAATGAAGTAATAGCTAAGATCGAAGACACTAATTTACAACCACCTATTTAAATTCGCAAAGTATTTAAGTTAATTAATTTTTAAGTTCATTAATTTTCCTATCATTTAATATGGAAGCGTTAACTTTTTCAAATAAAGATTTAAAACTTAAACTGCCTTTTGGTATGATTGTCTCAGGTCCTAGTTCTAGTGGCAAGAGTACTTTCTTGCTCAAATTTATCTCAGAGGTAGATGAGTTAATTGAACCCAAACCAAAGAGTATACTTTATTGCTTTGGTGAAATGAGTAGTATTGTACCAATACTTCAAAAATCTGGTGTTAATGTGTTTGTCGGAGCCCCACCTGAAGACTTAATAAAAACACTACCCAAGCCACTTCTTTTAATTTTGGATGACCTTCTTTTGTCAATAGATGAAAAATATCTATCTGAACTTTTTACAAAAAAGTCACACCATCAAAATTTTTCTGTTATATTTGTTACACAAAATTTATTCGACCGAAAAATTAAAGTCGCTCGTCAAAATGCCCAGTATATTGTACTGATGCGGTCACCTAATTCTGCTCTCGCAGTAAGAAATATAGGAGTCCAACTCTTCCCTAGAAGGCTAGATTATTTCCTGGATGCATACAATCAATCAACAAACCAACCTTATGGATATTTATTGATTGACATGCATGCCTCTTCTGACCCAACTTTAAGGCTTAGGTCAGGAATATTTAAGGAGGACGAAAAAATTATTTTTACTCCAAAAAGTGGCATTTAAAATGGTCGGTCATTTAATTAGTGAAAATTCAAATTTTCTAAATACTCTGTGTTATACAAAATCTCAAAGAAAAATTCGTCGTCTTTTACGACTTGCTAGTAATAATCAACTTTTAACACTAGTAGA